TTGTAGCCTCATATATACCAGACAGATATGAGAGTGGTATCAGTCTTCTCATCTAGCTTTTAGCAAACAATAGTGGTGTAGTACAGAATAGTACAATAGCTATTGTAAAACATAATAGTTGTAATACATGACTACAACACACTGGGAGCCATTTAATGCAGTTTTTTGGTCTGCTGTCAATGTTTCTACTAACAGCTGCCTTTCATGTGGTCTGGTTCTGATGGAAACACACTGACAGTCAGTCTGGTTCAGGTCAGTGTTTCAGCAAAATCCCAAGAAGTGAAAACGACCAAATTCCAGATGATGTTGATGTTCTTTTCGTTCCTATACAGGCTCAGAAAATCACTTCTGTCTGCTGTACATTTGGTTTTTGATTCTGACAATGTTTACTGTAGCTTCAATAGCTCTACAGAGAAGATCAGAGGTTTTGTTCGTTGGCTCAACATCTGTCAGCTATTTGCAGTAGCCGCTGTGTCTTGCATCACTTCTGTAAAAAGGTGAATGTGAATAGAGGTTGGCATGGAAAGAGGTGCCCGACATCCGCATTAAAGTTTTCTTACCAGATGACAGCTGTCACTGACATGACTGAGGGTAATAGTTTTGTTCATAATTTGTAAGCAGTGGTGTGTGACATTGATGATGTGTAAAGATGACACGGGTCAAAAATAAAATCCACAATGAGAAAGTCCTGTGTTCGCAATGTTTCAAAGAGGAGCAAACTCCTGTGTCATTTTTCAAAATGGTACATTTTGTCCATAAGGTGCCAGCATCTGCTTTCCAGACACACAGTAGTAAAGTTTGTGTTATGAGTGTTATGGGTCATGGTGTGGAGCGAATGATACACCTCACTCCTGAAACCAAAGAGGCTGATCTGATAAAGTGCTTTGGAGGAGTTTATCTGCTCTAATGAGGGCAAAGAGGACCATGAGAAAAAGAGAATGTACAGACACCATCACATTATAGGCTTGTGTCCCACTGTATAAATTTATGGTTTAGGCCGTGTCTGCATATATACAGATACTTTTTTAATCTACTTTTTCCCCCCTCCATTTACAAAAAATTTAAGTACACGTGACCTTCGTTTTACAAAATATTTCCATCCTCATTAGAACGCAAAAACAACACCAAATGCTTGCTGGCATTAGATGTCTTTGGCAGTCTCCCTCATTACACGCACATACTGAAGTGCACAGGCTGTTACCTTTTCAAAACACTTACAGGAGATCTCATCACCGTTGATTTCCCTTCTACATAAGGATGAAGGAGCTCATTCAAAGATACGAGTGATGCTCTGGACATGTGAAAGTTTTCCTTCCACCTGTTAGCGATAACAATCCCACTCTCTGAATTGCCCCATGATCGCCTGGTTTGACGTGTCTGATCCAAAACTGCTGTTTCTGGTGGACTTGAAACTGCGGATGCTGAGGTGGACCAAATGACATTGGGTGACGCCTCTGTTCATCCGTGAAGTTGTGCAGCTTTACTAATTTTAAGGGGAAAGTAGTCATTAGACTAAGGAGTCACTAGTCACATCTTGTTGTTTTTTTGAAGCCAGAAGTGATCATATTCAGGCAAGAGGCTGGCACTTTGGAGGAATGAGGGGTGGATGTAATTCAGAAGCTGAGGACACTATCGGCAGACAGCCTGTCACTCAATGTAGCCCACCCTTAATTATGCGTAACTGTAGGCCTTAATGACATGTAAACGGGTGAGTAATACTAAAATTCTCCCCCCCCCCGTACTGTCATAAAGGGGGAAATTAGCAAAAGAGACCAAAACTGTTTTTTGCACCAGGCTGTAAACATGTTTATTTCTGCTGTAAAGCTGGTCATTTAACATGGGGTCTATGAGCATTGACTGGTTACTGGAGCCAGCCTCAAGAAGCTGCTCAAAGAACTGTAGGTAATGGCACCTCTGTGTTGGCTTCATTTTTCAGCCCCAGAGGTTGGTGCTTGGCGTAGACAGGGCCTTAGTGTACCTTGTATGCCCTTTAAATATAGACCTAGTAATGATAGGCATACACATTTCTGTAATTTATAAAGACCAACAACGTCTTGAAATGTTATGATTTATTTTTTTACCAGATGGTGTTTGACACTGGGAATGAGTGCAGATTTAATCAGACACGTGACAACTTCAGTCAGAAATGTGATTTTTTTTTTTTGTCTTTTTTGATTTGATATTTTAGGATGACAATTTAAATCAGTACTAAATGAATTTTATCTGCAAACATGTGCAGTGTTGTATAATGCAACTGTTACATCAGTGATGCTTAATATTGGCATCTGACTGCTTCTAACTTTAGTTCACTGCAGGTTAGGACCAGCTTTTTTAGGAGTTTATCTTCAACATACATGAAGATAAAGTCTTGCAGGATCTTGTAATTTAAGTTTGTCAGATTAACACGCACAGAGGTCAATGAAACACAGCTGCTATTTTTCTAACCTCATTCATGCGTTCACCTGTTTTCACCAGATTTGATGTCTTTTTCTTGTTTTGTCAAAGTGTGTGGAGAAGGGCTTTCTGTGGTTTAACTCCTGGACCACAATTATTGAGAGCAAATGTAAAACATCCATCTAGTAACACAGCAAATAGAAAACCTAATTTAAAAAAAAGCTTAAACTAAAGTTTTATGTATACGCCACATGGGGGCATTGTTTCCATTGATTATTTTGTTTTGTAATTCCAAGTAATTCCGGTCAAAACAGGACGGGACATGTGGGGAGAGATGTTCAAAACTCTAAAGAACTTCAGAAATGCTTTGTATACATCTTGAGTTATTTCAAATTCAGGATTTTGGTTTGAGGCAGTACAATCAAAAACATAAACATGACAAGGACAGTGTAGAACGAGGAGGTTTACAGGGTAAAAACAATAAATACTGCAAATAATGAGTGGTAAAACCCAAACAGAAAATATTCATTATGACATTGCACAATGTGTTTCCAGTATACATGAAATGGTGTCAGGACGGACAGAGGTAGAGAGGAATGAACTCAGAAATTGCAAATAAGGGGACCAGATGTCTTTGAGAAGTTTGATGTCGTACTGTGAATGTTTGTTATGTTTGCGGTGTTGAATTGCGCTTGACAGATAATGTAATTCTGTCTCTCAAGTTGAGAAATATTGTTTTTACAACATCGCCATTAAAGCAGTTACATTGCTATCTTCACAGCCATCAAACTCAATTGAGAGAGGGTAATTTTACCTCACTGCACACAGGAGCTGCTGGTCTACCTGCTGCCTTGATCATTAAATTTTGTATTAGTGTGACTGAACTAATGTGGCATCCACAGCAGTACGTAGGTTTATATGTAGCAACATCATCATGCAGAAACCTACGTCAGGTCATGTGGGAAAAGGTTTTAAGTAAAACAAGCAGTTTTTATGTTTAAGGTTGGGAAATAGTGGCATTTTGATGCTTAAACATACATCCGGCGACCAAAATTTGAATTTTTCAGAAGGAAAATGAGAAAATACAGGCAAAAGGCAGTCTGTGCAGAAAGAAACACCACCACACACTTCTAGTGGGTCATAAGCGATGATTTAGAGGGATAACTTCTGTATGAGTCCATACATCGTTGATTTAGGGAAATCTTGCGTAAGGATTTCCCTGAAAGGTCACCCATAATTAAGATGTGGGCTGCTGAAGATGTCAGACATCCTGCTCATTACTCACAAACGTAATTATTGCAGTATGGTGTAGAGACAAAGAGAGCATGAAAGCATTCATGTGTTACACAGCGTGGACTTGTTTTTATTCTGAGAAGACGACCATATTGTAACCATTACCTTGAGTTTCAGGGTTCAAGGTTGGGAAGAATGAATTGTGTGATTCTGCCAGTAACTTTTGGATTTGTGCACCTTATGTATTGTAGGTCCAGCATCCAGTGTTGGTAGTGACACAGAGTTTTCAAGACAAGAGGCATAATATTATTTTCCCTGGCTTCATCAGTTTGGGTCATTATGCCAGTTTATGAATTGTTTTTTCAGAGTGTCTCTACAATGCAAATATTCAGTGGACCTGAAACTGCCATGCAAATCATGCAAAAGGAACTTGTGAAGTTTGCAGACTTCACCCTGTAGGCAGACATGTAGAAAAGGAAAACATTTTCAAAGAGACAAAGCTGGCAGGAAGGATATCAAAGATGCTTGGTGGTTCAGAACAGGTACAGGCAGGAACAATGGCTATAACTCTAAGGCAACAAAGACACTCTGACAGATAACAGGGCTGAACTACCCTCAAACACATGCTGAAGAAAAAAATGAATAATGGGATGCAGCTGAACAGGAAAGTGACAAGATCAGGTGACTAGCAGCAACAGGAAATTCAATGGGGATGAGTGGTAAGTGGCTGTGGGATGGCAGCGTTTCATCCAGCAGGAGATGATTACAATACAGGGACTAGTATGACCTGGAGACACAAGGGAAGGAGGAGTAGATATGATAAAAACTAGGCCTGTCAAAGTCTCCAAGCATGAATACTATGAATGTTATTTTTCAACAACCAATTAATGGATGCACTACTTTACTTACTATTAACAGAATATTTAGTAGCATTATTTTCAAAATGTGCTTAAAAAGTTCAAAAAGTAGTCATACACGCACTGAAATAATTTCACCAAGTTTTATTTAATATTGGTACATAAGCAGCCTGTCTTTGAAAGGGTTGCTTGAGTGTCTTTGTCACTGTAGATGAGGATAAGGGACTAGTAGTATCACTGGGGTTGTCTGCTGTACGTCCAGTCTGTAAGCAATGGGGCTGAAACATCTCCAGAGGCACTGCCTTGTCTGCCTATGTTGCATGTGGAAATCAAACATGATTTCAATGATAATTGATATTTAAAACACTAACTGTTGGAAATTTTATTGTGCTTTATTGTGAAACTGGTCACCGTTTCATCCCTCAGCACAATTTTGTGATGTGGTCGAACTGTTTTGTTGTGAGTTTAAAGTGTTTTCGACATGATGAAAGTTTCATCTGCTCTTTGTGTGCCCAGGTTGTGAAGATGAGGAGCTGGTTTTTCACTGTGACTGTCCTGCTGTCCTCCATGAAACGGACTGAAGCTCAGGGTATAAACGACTTTAATTCTTCTCCCAACTATCACATCTGCCCCAAATGTTGTCATGTCTTTGTTAGGGCTGCAACTAACAGTTATTATTTCTCTATTAATCATTTAATCAATCAATCATGTCAGTAAAAAGTGAAACTTGCCCTGTGTAATTTTCCAGAGCCCAGCGTGACGTCTTCAGATGGTATGTTTTGTCTGATCACAGTCCAAAAACCTATTCAGTTTATTATCATCTATGGCAAGGAAGATTCTCAACTTATTACATTTAGGAAGCATGACACCAGCAGATGTTTGGCTTTTTTGCTAAAAAAAAAAATGCTTAAACAATTTTTCGATTATCAAAATAGTCACCACTTAATTTCTCTTGACAGACTAATTGATGAATCAACTAATTGTGGCAGCTTTAGTTTGTGTGTCTGTTTAGATCACATGTACTCTGTATCACTTTGTATTTGCAGGCAGGTGTAATAATGTGCAAGCAGCAGATATTGTTTTCCTGGTCGATGGGTCCTCCAGTATTGGCCGAGCTAACTTCCTGCAGGTGAAAGGCTTTATGGCTGGAATCATCAAGCCATTTGCCGGCTCTGTCAGCGAGTCAGGGATACGCTTTGGGGCCATACAATACAGCGACACCTCCAGGTTAATATTCATCTTATTACTTTCCTGTGTATGCAATGACAAAAATGATCTTACTGCAGGTGTACAATTATGTCTTTAATGCACATTTTCCTCCCTCCAGAGTGGAATTCACATTTACTACCTACCTGGTTGGCACCGAGGTCGTCAACGCTGTAGAGAATCTGAACTATAAGGGTGGAAACACACGCACTGGTGCTGGTCTCAAATTTGTCGCTGATAACTTCTTCAACCCTGTGTCCAGTCGAGATGTTCCAAAGGTCTGAGGAGCAGCCATTCTTTGGATTTTCATAATTATAAAACTGCATTTTCAAAGGAATGCTTTGCCCACAAAAAAGACCATTTTATATCGATTACTCAATTCAGAAAGAAAACTTTTTCTTGCATGTCTCTGGTGAACAAAGAATCCCAAAACGGAGAACATTCTTGATGAATTGAAGTCATAGGCGACCATTTTTAATAACAGCAAAAAACTATATCAAAAGATTTGTCTACAAACTCTCATACAATATGTGTAGCATAATCCGAGTCTTATTTATTCAGTCATATGTTGAGTGCTTCCCAGACAACCCTATCCGACGGGGAACTGAATGTAAAATGAAATGTAGCTATGCTCTCTTTAAAGCAAGACTCCGTTGAGAAAAACAGTGATTTTACCCCACTGAATGCAAGAGCTGCTTGTCTACCACTGCCAGTTCATTTGTTTGTGTTATTGTGTGACTTTTGGTGTTTTTGAGGGTTAGTTCGGTTTCACCAAAGTCACATAGTAACTCCAACAAACTAACTGATTGAGGCTTTGATAAACCAGCAGCTCCTCTGTTCATTTAGGTAAAATTGCTGTTTTTGTCAATAGAGTCTGGCTTTTAAGAGAGCATAGATAATTTTATTTTTAGGTCACTTTTCTTCACAAATTCAGTGTAACATGGGGTGAGTAACTGACAATCAAATGGTCATTTGGTGAAGAATCAAGAATCAAAATAGCACATCTTGTGTTTCTAATTTCTACCTGTGTGTCCTCCTTAACTTTCAGATCACTATCCTGATCACAGATGGGAAGTCCCAGGATGGTGTGCAGGAACCAGCACAGAAGCTGCGCAGCCAAGGAGTGCATGTTTTTGCGGTTGGTAAGTGTCTCACCTGTAGTCTCTCCTCTCTTACTCAGAGTACTTTTGACTTTTTAGATGTGTTTATGAGCCACTGTGATTTCTTTTTTACTTTGCCAATTTTCTGTGGTCTCTTAGGTATAAAGAGTGCAGACAGGAATGAGTTGGCCCAGATCTCCTCCCAGCCCAGCAGTGATTTCACCTCCTTTGTTGGGGACTTCAAACTGCTTAACACACTTCTTCCTCTAGTCAGCCAGCGAGTGTGTTCCAAAGCAGGAGGAGTCTACGTTAGTGATGGTATGTGGGCGACCTTAAATAACATCAGTATTTGAAAAGACATGCAGTGACAAATGTGTCAGATCTTATTTTATCTCAGACTTTATTGTCAGACCATAAACCTGCATTTAATTTGTTGTATGTTTCATCCTGCTTCCACCCTCTCCTCTTCCTTCAGAGGCATTTTCTGGTCCAGCCAACCTCCAGTTCACAGGCCAGACGTCTGATACTCTCAGGTTTCGCTGGAATGCAGCAGGGGGGCCTGTGAGTGGCTATGTGGTCCAATATGTGCCACTCTCTGGCCTGGGTCAGCCCATCACAGCAGAACTACGTCAGGTGCGTCCAGATGTTGAAGAGTATTATTGACACATGGAGGTGACCTAGATTGAGGTAGCAAATTGCGGTTTTATGAGGCAAAGTCAACCCTGCTTTGCAAGAGAAACACGTGCCTTCAGGCTAAGTATAAACATGTCTAATGGGTGGATCTTCTTCGTGTAGATGCTGTAGAGATTAAAATTTGGCAGAGCAAACAGTGAAATTCTCCTGGCACACATGAAGAAGATAGCAGAATGCCATGGCTCATCCATCCATTTCAGTCAATCACTTTGCAAAAACTTGTCTTAGCCTCTGTCTCTCCCTGCAGGAGACTGTCTCTGCCAGTCAGAGGACCTATACCGCACGAGAGCTAAGGTCAGGAACTGACTACCTGGTGACTGTCATCGCCCAATACCCCAACAGTGTGGGGGAGTCTATTTCTGCCAAGCAACGAACCAGTGAGTAGTGGAGGGCAGAGAATGTCAGCAGAGAATTGCTAAGGCAGCCTTTCTCACACAAGCAGGAACCCTCAATGAATCACAGTCACACACCTGCAGTGTCTTTTTCTCTCCTCGTATAGGGTCTCTGCCAGGGGTGACCAGTCTACGCCTGATAGAGGCAGGTTTCTTTTCTCTCTCTGTGGGTTGGGACCAACCTTCATCTCCTGTACAAGGCTACAGACTCACCTATGGACCGCGAGGTCAGGCACACATATACCTCTGTCTCTATTTTCTTCTGCCTCTCATCTGACTTGTGCTTTTGTGTCTTAGTAACACACAGTATATTACCACCCTCTCCTCGTTTGAACTTCAAAAGACAAATCATTTAGTTGGTATGAAAGAATTACCTTGTCACGAAAAATAATCTTGACAGAATGAATGATTACAGTAAAAATGCAGGAGGTGAAGAAGGTACAGTAGTCAATTAAGCAACAACCCAAGAGAGCCTGTGGTTTACAGTGATTTGAGGACAGCTAAAGGGCATTTGGCATCGTGCCTAAAACCCCTTAGCTTTTCTAAAATCACTGTGAACCTCGGCCTCTTGTGGCTCATTGCTTTTATAAAACTGATATTACACAAACCTGGCAATGTTTTAACAGAATAAACACACAGCAAAAAATGCAATAATTTATTGATGACATGTAATCAGTCTTCCACCAAGCAATGTAGTTCCTCAGAAACATTAAGCAGCATGGTTGCCAGGCAAACACAGATGCAGTGGAAAGTGCCAGCTGCTTTTGAAATCTGTGGCAATGTGGAGCCAAAGAAGTTCCCCCCCAATGGGCCTTAAAATATCTAACATTAGGAGAAAGAAAAAAAAATTCTCATCATGTTGCAGTAACAACCACATGTGCAACTATTATGCTCACTTTCCTCTCGCCCGGTTATTTGCTGACTAACCAAGTTACGTTACACTGTAACAAAAATGAGCAAGCGATCAAATGAATTGACAACATAGCTAGGAAAAAGTGAGCCCAACAGACTACAAAGAAAAAATGCAAGCTAGCTAAAGTTACATCGTTAACTTATCATAGCTCGTTGGAGTAGTTTGACCACTTTGGATGGAGCTAAAAGGACGATGGAGTGGGTGGTGGATTAAGTTACCTGGTTTATCAAACATGAATCCCTGTAGGCTCTCCGTGTCTTTCTCGTTCTGGAGGATGATAAACAATTCAGGCTTGCTCTCTTTAGCTCTGCATCCCACATGACAAAAGGTAGCTAATTGGCGCAGCAATACTGAAATTGCGGTCACAGCTGTGTGTTTATAGAGTATTTTACAACAGCTTCAAATGTATAATATCGTTATATAATATAGCATAATAACAGATAACCTTTTGGTGGCAAGTTGGAAACATGTTGAGAATGTACAAACAGCAGTCGGGGTTGAGTATGGGGAACGTGATCTTCTCTAACACCTTACCTCCCTCAGGCACTGGCTGTCAGTCAGGATTTTATTGCTCAATCATTACCTAAAATATCAAATGCATTTGATCATCACCAGACTTGAGATAGACAGTGAAAACCTTCACTTATGTCCCGCATCGTCAGTAATTTTGTCCTTATGTTTCTAGAGACAGGGTGTGGCATAGATCATAACAGTGTCAAGATGTCTGGGTGCTTATGCCATGATTCAGGAGAGAAAAGTGGCCCCTGAGGGCTGATATAAACAGTTTCTCCCTCCAAACATGTGGCAGGAGTGCCAGTCTCACATGGAGCTTCTCCTCTGACTAGTTAGGCTGGCACGTATGTGTGAGAGTATTTAAATAAGATCAGTGTGTATCCTGTAATGAGAGGTGAGGTGTTTCTACCTGTTCCTGTCTGCCCGTACTCGCACTGATAATTTAAACAAACTAAACAGATACTGACAGACACACAAGCACACACAGGACATGCACATGCACACATTATGCTCTGCCTCCGAACAATACGTCTCTACAGCTGGCTGCCATGCTTTGTGCTCTGAGGTGAGAGTGAGGTAAAGGTAATGAAGTAAGGACACATCCCATATTTTTTCAGCTCGTTGTCAGCTAATTTGTCTAATGACATACTGTGCAGTGTAATGTGTGATTGCTATTAGTGCACTAATTGGTCCTCTTCATGCCCGTAACGTGTATTTGCTTTGTCTGTTGTGTGGTTGCAAGAGCAGGTCAGCCAGCAGCCCAGCTGTTGGTGCAGGCTCTGTCTGCAGACTCCACATCTGTCACCTTGGAGTCCCTTCTGCCCGATACGGAGTACGTCATCAGCCTCTACCCCTTATTCCCCCGAAACTCTGCATCCCCGTCCATCCTCAACGCTCGCACATGTGAGTCCACCCTGGGGCCCATTATTAATGCCTTTTGTCTTATATGATGATCGAAAGTGGTTGTAATTTTGTTGAATTACACATTAATTTGCAGGTTAACAATTAAACAAAAATGTGTGTATCACCCCAACCCTAGCAGACTAATTAATAAATAAATAAATAAATAAATACATATATTATTTAATAGAAACAGAAGTACCGATTTTCCATATGATTTCAAATTATCAAAAACTCCATATAAGGCCTCCATAAGCACCCAAAGTTATTGTCTTTGCTTTTTACGATATAATTCAGTCTCTCCAGAGCTAGACAGGCTTCCACTACCTTTATCCACATTCCAATAGTGTATCCATGTTCTTCCCTAACAATGCAATTATCCTTCTTAGTGTCCTTCCTAGTAGACTCAGTAGACCTAACCCTAATCCTAAATACATCTGTCAAATGTTGTCTGTGTGTTCATGTTTTTACATGTGTCAGTGCGCCTTGAGTCAGTGCAGCAGTTAACAGTGGAAACCGAGTCAGAGGGCAGCGTTCGTGTGCGGTGGGGAGGCGTCAGTGGTGTGCGGGCCTACCGTCTGGTCTGGGGACCATTTACAGGTTGGGACAATACATATGTTTAAACATTTTAAACGTACATTTTTGCTGGTCAGTATTGTGCACACACATATCATTACATTTTTGTATTTCTGTCCACGAAGGTCGAAATGTGGAGACGGTGGAGGTTGCTGGTGGCAGTGAGTTTTACACTTTGTCCGGACTGCAGCCCGACACTGAGTACATCGTCACCATCATCCCGCTGTATGAGGGCAACACCGAGGGCCCTGTAGCAACTGCCAGGTTCAAGATAGGTAGGCGTGGTTTGGGTACTACATCACAGCACCAAACATCTGTCTCTGCTGTGATTTTTTTCCGTGTGTTCGTTGTACCCTCTCCTCTCTAATACATACCACAAATTGCATCCCTTAATGTGTCCTTTATTGGTAGTTGTAGTTAAAGAAAGCTTAGAATTGTTGAGGAAATTTGGGGCCCTCATGAGGGTGATTGTTTAAAAAGCCTTTAGTATCTCATGGCTATTCAGTCAGTGACTTAATTGACTAGTCATTGGCTAAATAGCTGTTAGATATTAAAGGCTCTTTAGATAATTACCCTCTTAAGTGCCTCAGACTCCTTCAACTATTCTAAGCTACTGGTAGTTGGACCCTCAAACTGAAGAGCACCAGAGGGACACCTTTTTCACACCCAAACAACACTCCATACTGTTATGCGACTGAGTAAAAGAATGCTTTCTGAGTAGGTGCTTGCCTTCTGTTGTGTCCCTCTGAGTACAGGGACAGGAAGTACAGATGAAGAAGATGGCCAACAGTGTTCTCTGATGTTTGTCCCTTTTCTGAAAATCTGCACATGTTACTGTTTAGTTGTGTTTAAGGAACATTTCGAGCACACCTACACACTCATTATACACACACACCATCTGTCTGTCGTGACTAAAGCCCATATGGCGTCACTTCAGTCAGACCAGTGTTACTTGCATGAGGGCTGAGTCACTGCAGGGCCACTGTGCTGAGCAGAGATCAGGCAGAAATGGAGGACTGGAAACATTTGTGTGGCCCAGTTCTGCTATCAAACAAGCGGGATGTATACAGCGCTCTATATACTGTGTACGGCAGTAACTTAAACTTTAGCTGAGCTTGTTTCTCTCTTGTTTGTTCCTGTGTAAACCAGCAGAGTGACAACTATTTGCTGTGTCTGTGGTTTGTGAAGAGTTGTCTGTTCCTTCTCATTAGGAAAAAATGTTGACTTTGATTTTTTGGTTTTAGCGAGGACCACATTGAATGAAGCTTTCATGTTTATATGCAGATATATCTTTAATATATTCAGCAAAACCATTATGTTTTCTAACATGTAGGGTGCTTAACATTAAGTCCTGCACATCAGACTGCATGATCTTTAAAGTTTAAGTTTTAGAAATGATCATTGGTTTTATTTTTATCTTCTTCCACATTGCCAACCACTTCAATAGCTTTGTGTGGCATTCAGCAAATGTGTTATGGAGCAAAATGTTGAATTTGTTTGTGTATAGTCCGACTCTAAGGCCTGAAAGAGACGTCAATGGGTGCCTATTGCTCTGTAGATTTCTGCTCTGTTCTGCTCTGTTCTCTGACCTGTGTGGTCCCCACTGACACCTGGCACTTTCATGTTGATTTGTTAACATGTTCATCACGCGAACAAGAAAAGACCTGTGGCCTCATACAGTGTACAGATCATTCTTTGCTCTTTGTCACAGAGAGCATTTCTTTGAACCAAGTTCACTACACCTGCAGCCCGAGGGGCAGAGGTTTGGTACCATCTGCAATGAAAAACTCTGTATCTGTGATTTATTTAGCCATCAATTATAGAATATTGGCACCTCCTCAGAACAGTAGTTTCACTATCATTTCACAACAGATTCCTGAACTCTAAAGATAACCAAAGTACTGGCATGAATATGTGCAGGTTGTGTGTGAATGTGTTGAAAACTGCATCTGGCTGAAGGAAATGAATTGTGGGTTTGGAACGGTTTCAAACTGGCATGTGTGTTCATGATCACTGGCTTGGTTTAGTTGTTCTTTATTGTTTTGCACTGGGACCAATGAGATACTCCGTTGTATCAAATAGAAAAGCTCAAGGGCCTTAACCGTGAGTCTCCAGATGTTTCTCTTTACACCTCATAGAATTTCTCCAACACTTCACATAATGGCCAGTGACACTGACAGTTGTGCGTGGAGCAATTATTTTCCCTTCAGTTTTTTTCTTGTCAGCCTTCAGCACAAGACATGATACCCTACTAAGATGGATGTGTCAGGATGGGACATCTTTACAAGCTACAGGAGGATGTGTATATGAGGGTGGGCGGGTGTCTTTCAAAGTCATGGGCTTTTTATTACCAAGTTACTGCTTTGTGTTACTATCCCCACTTTCCTTCCATGGTACTTCTCTTTTTGGCCCAAATTAGCCTAATAAACCACAGAAAATACAAACGGTAAGCAGGTATCCACTATTGCAGACACAGGTAACAGAGCGTGTTCCTCACAAGATGGCGCCCCTGTCCCACACAACATGACGTACCTTCATATCCCCTGTTGTAGGGGGGCAGGAGTGTTGTTTAATATTTAATATTTCTATGGTAGGATAATTAGGAGTTTAGTTGTTTTTGCATAGAATTGTTATTTGATTGTCTTTATTGATTATGCAGTAACTTTGGTTTGTCTGTTGGAGGTGCTATGTCTCCTTATTTTCTTGAAAAGTTTATCTTGATTTATTTAGTTTCATTTTTGTATATAATTTGATTTTCACAACCTCACCAAAACCAGCCTGCCTGTTGGTGTTCTGTAAATGTCACTGGCAGTCTCTGTGTGCTCTTTTTGGGACAACTTGGCCAGTCCTTTCAATACCCACTAATGTAGAGCCTAACATTAGCTTCAGCTGAACTCCAGACTTGAGAGAACAGGGACTGTGGGTTTTGTCACATACACTGGAATCATTTTAGGAAGGGATCTCTTGTGGCCGGCATGGACAGAAGGAATTATTACAGTAACCAGTAAATCTTTCAGTGTACATACAGTACAGGCATTTCAGTACTGTGTTAATACAGACCTGAAAAAGTTCGAACCTGTCCTTTTACATTTTTCATTGAGTGATTGATGGGAATATAGCTGTGTCATCTTATGCAATTACATCCATATGATATAACATTTCTTCCCTCAGAGCGTCAGGAGCAGCAGGTCCTCAGAGCAGCTACTACTGGCCCCTCCTCTATTCGTCTCACCTGGAGAATTATCCCATCCTCTCGAGGGTACCGCCTAGAGTGGAGGGCGGGGGAAGGTCAGACACACACGCTCAAACATTCACTTGTGCCTTTGGTAATCCTTCTGTGTCTGCGTTAAAACATGAAGTAAGGAGGGCTGTGCAAAGTGAAAAAGTTCTTATAATGATCTCAAGAAATAATTTTTTATATGTAATGAGTATGTGCTAACAATTGCAAAGTCAAGCCTAATAAGTATTAATGTAAGTGTTTCAAATCTCATTTTGTGATTCCTTGTTTTATCCCAACATGTTTTGACTGACATGTATCCAAATATAAAGCCAGCTCCACTGTTGGGTTACAGGTAGAAGGATACCAATACTTTAGGTAAAATGAATAGAAGTCCAGTGATTTTGAGCCGTTGCTCTGTCTCCAGGAGGACGTGTCGAGACCCTGACCTTTCCTAGAACCACTTCCAGCCATGAGCTAACAGGCCTTCAGCCCAACACAGAATATATCATCAAGCTGTACACGCTGTTCGAAGGTCGTGAGGAAGCCACACCTGTCTCCACCACATCCAGAGGTCAGTAGCTCAGCCTTGGGGCACAAAACTCTAAATTCATTTTGGGTTGATTTATGGGTCATAAATGTGCTGGAGGTTAGATTCCAGCTAGTTCTGAATAGGATTTCCTGCAAATATCTTAAGTTTTTGTGCTTGTATCCATTTTTCATGAGTGTCCTAATTCTTTGGTGTTGCAGAGGAACAGCCAGTGGGGAAAGTGTCCAACCTGAGAGTGGTGGAGTCTCTGGGCAGCACTGTCAGACTTGGCTGGACAGGTGTAGCTGGGGCCACACAGTACCGCATCATTATCCAGAACACAGACGGTACACCGACTGATATTTGTGCATTATTTTATAATTTCTTTAGATTTTTTTGTGCGAAATTATTAATGAAAACATGTTCGTGAAAAGTATCTGTTTGTTTCACGTTATGACAGCAGGAACAGAGGAAATACGGAATATCCCTGGAAACCAGACGACCTTTGACCTCAGAGACTTGTCAGTGGGAGTGTCTTATGGAGTCAGTGTCACAGCGCTGGTTGGAGAAAATGAAGGAGACCCAGTTACTGTCTACATCAAACCAGGTGGGCTGAGCAGTGACACTGTGCTCCGGTGTGCTTTATTCTGTTTTCCTCTTCCTGTAAACCGCTAATCCCAGATAGCAGATGACTAAAATTCCCATCTAATTTTGAATGTAAATGATCCTCTGCTGTATTCATTTAACTGTTTCCAAACTTAATTAGCTCTTTCTTTTGTTTTGCCATTTGACAATAACTTGACTGTTCTATAGGAGTGTTTACATGGACCATGATATTCCACTAATAATCAGAATAATATCCCAGTCAGAATAAAAGTACCTCATGTATCCACCTCAGTTGGAGGAGACTGACTCAATGGGAAGGAATTTTCAGTCTCGTTGAGACGGGTGGTGTAAACCTTTGATAATCTGTTTTAAAAAGAAAATATTAGCACCCAATAACCATGTCAATGCTGATCTGATGTTCTTTCTGCAGATGTTCACCAAACATGGTGATAACATTTGTTGACGCAGCTGGACGCGCTGCACACGACATGCCAACAGCTGTTTCAATATGAGCCGGCTGATTTTGTCAGAAAATTGTTCATAATTTAAAAACATATTTAAAGCACTGCTTGTGCCACATTCATATGTGAGTGCTCTGATTAATAAATGGATTGCTTGATTTTAAACAGTAGCCTTATGTGAGCTTGTTATTCTATTGCTGTCAGTTGCAGTAGTCTGCATATGAGACGTTTAGAGAACATCTGTAAATTATAACATTGACTGATAATCTGCATGTGAGGTGTTTGGGAACGTCTGTATGTCACTGTAACCTAGGTTACTCTTACTTTAAGGGTGGAACCATGTCTTTCTCTACGCTTTATGTATTGAATGAATTGAATTTTCTCATTAAGGTTGGAAATAGAAAAACTTCTTGTTCTGTTAAATTTCTGACAGATTAGACGCTGCACAACAGGTTGAACCATTGTGCTTAAATCAGAAATAATCTATTCTGATTAAATGTTTTGGTGCATGTAAACACATCTTATTGGATCACCTTATTTAGCATCTATCTAAACAGTTCAGTTGGAATCTCAGGACGATTCGAACTGGACTGAAGAAATATTGTCCAGTGTTCCAGAGAGCTGTTGTAAGCAACGTCTCTCATTTATCTTGTACTATCAACACCACTCTTGACAGATACTGTTTAGTACTATAGTATGTATACCTGGTGTATCTAGATATAGGCAGTTACCCAACATACAGTACGTGTCTACATATTTGTTAATATCTTAGTTGGAATTTGTAGCGTACAAACTTTTCTCTGTGTACCTGTAGTTTCTCTTAAAGTGAAATACTCAGGTTTGAATTCTTGCAAAGATTTACATTGAATTTTGCCACATGAGTCCCTGTATGTCCTTCATTCCAGAGCAAGGTCCTGGCAGAGTGACGAACCTCAGAGTGACAAACGCAAACAGTCGGAGAATTCGAATTGCCTGGGCAGGTGTTACTGGGTCGACAGGTTACAGGGTTACTTGGAGACAAGGCAACAGTAAGTGTTCTGTCTTGTCATGTTTGGGAGTTTATCCTTTTGAACCCTGTATTTGAAGCTGGCTTTGAAGTTTTATATCTTAACTTAATATTCTTCTGTTTTTTTTTAATCGCCTGATTTGACATCATGTTGTGCCTTGCAGATCCAGAGCAGTCTCGTCTTCTGGGGGCGGAGGCTACATCCTTCACCATAGACGGCCTGCAGCCAGATGAGGCGATAGTAATTGGTGTTGCATCTGTGGTTGATCAACGCGTTGGAGAGGTGGTCACGCTGTCCAGTCGGACTAATCCCCACGGTGGATCAGTGTCTGGCCTTCGCATCGTTGACGTCACATCTCAGAAGATACGCATTGCATGGTCACCTTCCACTAGGGCAACTGGCTATAAGATCACTTGGCGTCGTGAAGATGGTAAGCAATGATTAGAACTAATTATTTTACTAATACTAATACTAATTATTTTAAACACACAAGATACATCCATCGACTGACAACAGGGTAATATAAAGAGTAATGACAGCTTGGTGTTTAGATGTGGGTAGCGATCTGGCTGTCAGTCTCTTCTATCCTCATCTGTCTAGTTGGTGAAAGACACAAATTTCTACATTTCCATCTCTTTGCCATGTTTTGCTGGTGAAGGAGTTGAAACAACGCGTAATGTGGCTGCCAACGTCAATTCCTTCACCATTGATGGACTACAGTCAGATTACGCCTACGCTGTGTTAGTTTCTTCACTTATTGGCTCTCGAGAAGGAAGTCCTACCACTCTGAACATCAGGACAGGTACCACACTGAGTTTTGTCAAATACACAATGTTGCTGTTGTCCAGAGAAACTTGGCTATAAGAGGGTTAATATAAAATAAAATAACTTACTTATTGTTTCCTGTTCCAACCTTCAGAGTCAGATCAGACTGTGGTAGGGACTGTGACGTCACTGCAAGTCCAGGAGGCCCGTGGAGAGGTTGTCCGAGTCACTTGGGTTGGTGTCCAAGGAGCAACAGCGTATCGGGTGTCTTGGAGGAGAACAGACGGTACATCTTTTGTTGTTCCATTTCACTTTAGTGATGAAATCTTTTCATACAGGTCTCACATCTCAGTGTCATAACAAAAGCATCATTTTAACCCTTAAAATATGCATGTCAAGTTAAAGTTTGACTGTACACTACTCACTACTGCGATTGTGTGCCGCTGCAGGTGGTGAAGAGAGGAGTCAGGTGGTGGGCGGAGATGTGACAGCAGTGGATTTGGAGCAGTTGGATCCCGGAGCTCAGTATGAGGTGCAGGTCATGGCTTTAGTTCAAAACAGAGAGGGATCCCCTGTGTCTGTCAGAGTCACTACACGTGAGTCCCGTCTTTCCATATTCAGTTATTATTTCAAGGTTCCTGAAAAGATTTAATAATCCTCAAAAGGAGAAAGCAGCCTTAAAAGCCTTCTTAAAGGAACACTTAAGCCCCCAAAGTAACATTTGTTTATCAATTACTCACTAGTGTTAACATTGAATTTTTGGAGAAAACTTTTCTTGCATGCCCTGAGTGAACAAAAAATCAAAAAATGGGGAAAATTCTTAAAGTTAAATTCTTTCAGTCTCATTTATCCAGTCTTATGCTCAGTTCTTCCCAAACAGACAGCCCTTTGCGACAGGGTTGTTATTGTATGACTTTGGTGTTGTTGTACAGTTAGTTCAGATTCAACAAAGTTACACAATAACATAAACAAACCAACTGAACAGCTCCCGTATTCATTGTCGATTGGACTCTGGCTTTGACGAGACCAGAGATAAGTCTGACTTTACACTCAATCCCCTGTAGTAAAAGGCTGACTGTTTGGCAAGTACTGAGCATATGATTGGATAGTGAGACTTGGATTATACTGTTTGCAAATGGATCTTTTGTTGTAGTTTTGCTGTTGTTAAAACATAGACCCTTATGGCTTCAGTTCTGTAAGACTTTTCTTGATTTTTTTTTTTTTTT